CCCCCCCAAAAAAAATCCTTTAAACCGAGCGCCTCTTTGTAATCCACATTCGATATTCACGAGGAGTTTCGCGAGCTGACATCAATAAACGTAATGTACATTTTTTTGCAACGAGCCTCTTGATTGTTTCACATACTACCCCTATCTTATTACGCCAATTTGGCACTTATCGTTTTGTACACGATGTCGTTGGTTTTGTTTGTGGGTTTCGTGCTTCGATTTGGGCTATACTTCGATGCCACAATTCCGATGGTTTCCACAGTGTTCGCGATCCAACTTGACAATAGAATATATAATACAGTATAATACAGTAATATGCATAATATTGAATACAATTTAGTATAATACAGTGTAACATAAAATTGTAATGTAAACTAGAAACCAACAATAATTCCATCAAAAAACATTTTAAATTCAGTAATCGTAAAGTAGGAAGTCTGCAATTCGTAATTTTGACGGGGTTGGTAGTTCAGTGTTAACACGTTAAATGCTGTGAGGGTTACTAGTGACAGACATTCGATTCGCTAGTGGCGCCGTGGTGGTCATCTGTGACCAACGCCGTGAACATTAATTAAAATACTTGCATCGAGTGGTCTGTAATATTTGTATACCCTTCGATACTGGTTAATATTTGGAACATAAACGCGGCAACCCTCTACAAACTAAGTGTGTGAAGTGTAATAACATAATTCAATAAGATAATTTTTTATATAATTTTATTTTTACACGCATATTATAACCAAGAAAATCTATCGGCATTCAACGTGTTAACGTTCGAAAATTTGAAATCTGCACGCAGGCTTGATTCGTGGAACGCTGTCAATTTTCCGTAACTGTTTCGCGCGGTTAACGAATCCTTTCATCGTAATTTTCGAGTCACGACAGAACGATCGTTCCACCGTCGTATGCAGCTGTGTAAATCCAGGGATAATAACGATCACCAATGTTTATATTCGCGGGTTGTATGCGTTAAAAAGAAAGTACGCCGAACAACATTGCCTTGTGAAACAGTACACGGACGGACGCGCGGGATCGTTTCGAAACAATTCGTGGATTGTGTAGCCGCCTTGATTTATTTCGGGCGTAAAACGTTCATTTTGTGTGTACGAGTGGTAAAACGCTCCAGCCTACAGTTTCGCGTATCGCAGGAAACCTGAAGGCGCGTTTCAGTGTTCCGCAAGTCCGTAGTCATAAATAGTACGATTCCCATTGGAAATTGCTTTAATCGCCAGGAATTCCATTGAGAATACAGAGAAAGAATTCGGTAGAATTCCTCAAAACTGTTCGATCTCACTTAATTACCCGAGCGGATAAATAAATACGCTCGGTCGAGATGGAATAAATCGAGTTCTCAGAGCCACGGAAATGTACCGAGGAACTCCAGATGTCAGAGGGCAACGCGCGTAACGTGTGCTTTAAAAGCACCGGCCAGTTTTCGCACGCTAAGGACAACGGAGCGTCGCGATTGGCCGGCCTAGAAATTTGATTCCGTTCCATTCGTTCCTTTTCCCTTCTTTCTTCGTCCCTCTGCCTGCGGTCGGCCCTGCTCCCCCTCGCCCTTCAGTGTGTTGTGGTGAGATCCGGCGCGTCTACCTACACCGGTCTGGCAGCGTTAAAGAAAGGCTCTCGTATGTAGTATACTACAGTTACTACAGACCGTTTCCCCAGGGAAGTTGTGTGCTCGCGGCGGGTAAACCGGGCCGTCCAGAGACGCTCGAATCGAGCAGTTACGAACAGTTCGTCAGTGACAGTGCATTCGCGTACACGATCACCCGCGCGCGCGTTCCTCTGCCCGGCTTCTCTGAACCTGCTGCTGTTGGTTGTTCGCCTCTGCCGTACCGCCAGAAGAGAAGAAGAAGGAACACGCTCCGGTCGTGGATACACAAGCGGGGGACCGGAGAGTACGCTTCGCTCTCCTGGCAACGCGGTGTCGCTCGAAAACAATGATCGTGCGTTCGACCGGTTAGAACCGTCGAGGAAATTGTACCCGCGGAAACACAGGTCCGTAACCGTTGCTGCTGTCTTTGTTCTCTCCCGATCCAGGCCAGACGGCCAGGCGATCTCCAGGAACGGCTCGACGCGCATCGATCACACGCGAGGGTACGTACATATTCCAAGCACTACGATTTTTTCGTCCGTCGATCGATCGTACAGTGAAAACGCTACGTTCGAATCTAGAAGATTCGAAAACTACTCGGTTCGATCGCATCCCAACCTCTGCGTACAACGTAAACACGCTTTAAAAGCCTCGATTTTCACCACGGTGAATCTTTCTCTGTTTATATACCGTACCACACGAGATTGAACGTCGGTGACTAATCGTGTGGCCATTTTAGTTTTGAACGATAGTCTCGCGATTTTGGTGGTGGTCTCTTTCTAGTGATCTACTTTGTTTGTGTTCAGGGAATTGTTCGTTTGACCCAGCCATTTCAGTGCATGCTAGAGAGCAATCGACGGTTTCGGTTTTAACGTTCCTATATTTTTGTTCGAGTGAATGTTTCACTCGAAATCTGTTTTATTGTCCGGTTCCTATTGTAACAGGGAGAATTGACCGTTTTAGGATCAATTCCACGTATTCGTACGAAGTGCATTTCGTTGCGGTGTTCGATATCGGACCGTTGCAAATGTATGCTGGTGTGCGTGTGTGTATACAGTCTCGGTGTTGTTTTTGCGAAAAAGAGAAAGCGATTTTTATCGAATTCCGTGTGCTGTACGCGTTACGAAACGTGTTCCCGCCGCGAATGAATAATAACCGTGCTGAAAAAACATCGGCGAGCTGGAGCTTGCTTTTTCAAGCTTTGGGCGTGACATGCGCCGACACAACGTCCGCTAAACGTCGGAACGATGCGTGTGTACACGTGCGCGAGGCACAACTGTCGAGAGGATTCGTGTTTCTGTCCTGACTCTGCGTGATAACACGCTTTCGAATTCACCGGTGGAAATAAATCCAATGAAAAACTGTAAAATTTATCCCCTTACTGCGTGGAATTTTAATATGCTAATCATAAGAATCAGTTACGTGAATTTTAATGTTTGTTTGTATTTCTGAACGATCGAAAATAGGTACCCATACGATCGAGTCTGTGCCGCGTGTAGGAAAAGTAAATTTACTACAGAACTTCCAAAATACATCGCGGCAGGAACACAGTAGAGGTGTCTCTGTTGATCTATTTTCACGCAGTATTTTGAAAGCAGACAGGTGCGTTTAGTTTTCTCGTGTTTTACGGATTCTGTCGATTCACTACTGGAAAATACGGGTTGCAATCATTTTCATCTCAGGATATTGGGACAATTACGAACGACTATCTCGAATTATTTTCGAACAAAGGTAATAATAATAATTTAAACAAATTACAGAAAGAATATATAATAGAATTAAACTTAATCTTTAAATTTAAAACTAAAAGGAAGGAAAACAGAATATAAGAATATAGATTTTTAGATGGTCGGAACAATGTAACGATTATGACCCGACATGTTTTTCCTACCGGAAGTTTACGCCTTTAAATTTAAATCCTGTGTCTGGCTGCATCCGCTGGCACGATACGTCGACTCAGTTCACGTTTTTGAAGAGAATACTTACGGTATTAAAAAAAAAAGAAATATGTACCGGCCTCGATCGTCGAACAGGTTTCATCGGTTTAAAGTATTCTAAAAGCATTTTAATTACGCGAAAAGGTTTCAAGCGGGCTGTTAACGCGTTGCCGTGTGTACGACGTCAAATCGATAGTCCTTGCTCATCGGATGGTCTAATAGTCTAATATATCCTCTTCGGTCTTTTAGAGGCCTCGCGACGAGTGTTCGTCGATCACTAGGTTAAGTCCACGGAACAATGAATTTAAAGTTTCTAATAGAAAAAAGAAAAAATATGAAGAAACAGGGTAATATTTCTGTTCACAAGAGGTTTATTATATAAACAGAATTACGGTACATTTAAAATGTGTAATGATTCAAAATGTTTTTCAAGCGAGTCATAACTTATAAATATTCAAATCAGATCAAAATTTTTCGTCGTCAATCTCACATTATTCATATCAGCATTATGTATAGTAAATTATTAGTATTCAGCTGAGTAAACGCATCGTTCCCCGATAAATCTTGCCATAGACTTTCCTGTGAAAAAAGTAGTTACTCCAGAGTGTCGCCACATTCCATTTCTGTAAACACCAGTAAACCGTGAATGGATACATTCGGTATGTATACCGCGAACACGATAGTACGGCGAATTTGTTGGGCAAGCCGTTAGAGGGGGGGAGGGTCGTTCGTGAACGTTTGGCAGTTCCCCTTTATCTGCGTTGCTCGGTAACCATCGGTTATCGCGATACATGGTTTTCCAGTTATGTTGCCAGGGGTGGAACATTCTGTCCCCTTCGCAATTATTTCAGCCAGTTTCTTCTCTATGAAAAACATTCGTCTGAACTACAAAGACATGTTTTTCTCCCCGTTATTCGCTATTGATATTGGATTTTCTAGTTAAATCCTGCGAAACACCGAACCCCTTTGCGAATTAGTTCCAAAAAAATGGCGCTAGTGTAGACGACCGTGGTGGTACAGATTCACGGTCGTGTAATGGGAGAAAATAATAAACGGTATTTTTTTGTTTGTACGGTATATATATTCGGCTCACGTGTCGAATTGATTGCGACAAATCATTCGGAATTCCTGGAACGCGCGTTAAGGCGAATTTAAATTGCCTGGTGAAATTTACCACGTGGCTTTTTCTTGCGGTCCTTGGTGCGGAAAAATTCGTGTGTCCCGACGAAAACAGTCTGTTTTTCACGGCAGTTCGGATCAATTCAAAGGGGACAGTTTTCGATTTGTTTATATGGAAATATGAACAGACGACCGTTACCAATAGCCTAGGTTGTAAACAATGATTTACACGTGGTCTACCCGTAGCCATTGGACATATTTTCGAGGCCATTTTGGCTACGGAGGAACTCTGCTTGCTACGATCCTTATTGTGAATTCGTATACCTACCCGAACAATGAGGCCAAGACACGGTTCCCGTTATAAGGGTCGCACCGACGTAATTACAGAAGAAAGCGTTTCGGGGAAAAAAAAGGTCAACGGCACTACGGGCTGTTATTACTGAGGCCCAACAAATGACACTCCGTTCATTGAAATTTTAACTCCTGGGGCCTTCTTTCACGATAATTCAGCAACTGATGGTATTTGCGAGTTTACAAGTTTAAAGTTGTAACTTGTAAACTTCCGTTGCACAGTTTTTACAATTTCAAGTTTTACAAGTTAAACCAACTGATATGATTTGGTAGACAAATTTAAATTGAGTTATACAAATTTACTTGTAAAATTTTTACAAGGTTACGGAACAATGATAATTTTGTTTACAGGTTAATGTTCGTGACTGATTATATTCAGTGAATTGTTTATTGACTTCGTTAATTTCAAATATTTCAGTCGTGATTGCTAATTTATTTTTTTTCTTTATAATCATTTTCGTACGCACGCAGGACTTTAGTTTCTGTTGATCTTCAGGCTTACCTATTTTTAATACAAGAAAACACATTTGGGCTGTATTAATCGGTGTAATTCCTTTCTATCAAGGTGCACGCGTAACCTCGAATCGCGAAACAGGGCAATCAGTTTACTTGTAATTTGTGAAATCTACTTGTAGAACAACTCCTTTAAAATTGGACAAATATTGCAATTTTTTCGAAATCTTTTTACACATCATTTAGTAAATTAATCCTAACTTCAGAAAACAACTCAAGTAATTTGGTCCAATTTTAAAATAGTTAACACCGTTCAAACTGTTCTTGAAACGAGTACACCTTACCCGCGCGATTCCCTGTTACGCTTTTGAACTTCCTCCGGTTGTTTGACAACGCATCTGCTCGTATTTGTTCCTTTGAATCGCTCGCAAACCGTCCCAAAAACCTGTCACCGTTGATGTAAACATCCGTCGAGTAGCCGTTGATCTTTCTACAAACAGAAAAATTTCCTCGTTTCTCACCGCTTTTAACATCTCCGAACAGTGCTTCAGGGTAGTGATGGCGATACATTTGAACAAGTAGAAGGAATTGGGCTCGTTAAGACAACCAATTGCCGCCTGTTTAATGATTTGTCACGTACTAATTATCTTCGTTTCTATTGTCACAAAATTCCGCGTGAGCTCGAAGATGGTATATACCGGTTCGACGTCAACGAGGGAGGAGATTAAGCCGCGTTTTCAACGACAGAAATGATTCACTCGCGGTAATGGTAATAATTAATAGCTGTGCCGGTACGTGTTGAGGCTGTGGACATTAAAATTCCCGTAATGTTCCCGCGTGTGTACGTAATCGTCGTTCGTAATGTCCATTAATGGATACCAGGCGCCATAAGTCAAGGTTGATTAAGGCGTTTGCGTCCAAACGCTGATGGATCCACGACGCTTAATGATATCCAGCTGCAGTCGCGTGTCGCGTGTATTTTTACGTTGAGTTAATACGAAGCTTGTTTATACTTTAAAGGGGAAAAAATGTTGTTATTCCGCTCATTTAAATATGGTCACATTTCACTATTCATTCCGCAACTGCTAAGATAAGGAATATGTTGTAGCCTGTGGTATATTATTGTCTGAACGCGTCGGTGGGACAATGGTGCACACCAATGGAGTTTCAATTAATAAAGTTCCAATTAATGAAGTTTCAATTAATGGAATTTCATTAAATGGAATTTCAATAAATGGAATTCCGATAAATGGAGTTCTACCGTGCAAACACAATAGCTTCTGAACAGGAAAATATTTCTTCAAAGCCTATTCGATTGTTGGACGATACGATTAACAAGTAGTTTCTAACACTATATTGCCACCGTTTGACCGATTTGCGTGCGGGTTCGTTGGGGCACGAGTCGAGTGTTTGTTGGTGCGATCGAAACGATTATCGGTTAATTCGTTTGATTCGAGTTTTATATGTAGCCGGCGGCAGTCACGAGTTACGGTCTCGTTTTCAATGAGCTTAATCGAATCGACCGGCCACGCGACAACATCCGTGGCCAACGGTGAATCATTTCATCGAGAACGGACGGTTCGGGATTTATCCATCGATTCCACGCTGCGAAGATCTTCCACGATCACTGTTTTAGAAAATTT